ACAAAGGGGATTGAACCCGGGTCGCCAGGATGAAAATCCAAAGCGCTCACTTTTACGCTATTGGGACCACAACTCTAAATTTACTTTTATATACTTCTGAAACAGTACATCGGTCACTATTAATAATTTTGCGCCAAACTCCACAAGTAAATCTTCGCGCCTTTTCTTTGAAATGTCCCATTGAATAGGTGTGATAGCTTCAATGGAAATAAAAAAGAAAGTTCTCATAGATAAAATTTCAAGGTAAAGAAATTGTTTTTTACACATTTACATTCGTACAAATTCTATGCATAAATAGATAAGTAACACTAAATCAGCGAAACTGCTATAATTTTTTTTAACTTTTAAAAATTTTCTGTTTATCCCCATACTGAACTATCCCTCTTAGTTAAACTTTCATGAAAAGGTTGAAATGTTTCGCCGAAAAACATGTGTCGCCCTAAGACGGCCAAGGAATCAGATACCATTTATGTTCAATAACTTAAATTTATTGTTTGAGACAAGAATATTAATATAAACTCAATTCTTCTAAAAAATGGGTTTTACTATGTTTGTCTTTCCTATTAGTTTAATATGACTCAAGTGTGCATGAGCAAAACAGTGGATACTTTTAATACTTACTATATACATCGATATTGTTTCTTAAAACTATTATTTGTAACTATGATTTAAAATCTGTTTTTTCCGCAAAACAAATGATAGTAGGTATGTATTTCATTTGCATATTTAGTCTTTTCTTTTTCTTCTTTGAGAACCAGCCAAAACCAATTATAGAAGACGTTTGATACGACCATCGATTTAAACTTAGTTTGACACAGAATTGCAACGTACATGTAACTACATCGTGATAATCCACGTATTCCTTTACATTTCATTTATCCTTATTTACTTTCGTTCAAGCAAACACTTGGTTGCCTCTGAAAACGGCTATTGCGAAATGTCGGAGTTGACATAGGCAGCCGCCATATTGGACCCGCTTCAGATTTTTAAATGTTAATATCTAGAGTTAGGATTAATGAATGTTCAAACAAATTATATAATTAGCATTATAAGAAGGGTTTCTATAAACTTTCAAAAAATAAATGAAAAATATTTAAAAACAAAAAAGTTAGAAAATACGGACTTTTTAAATTCGCTTCTGCTAGCGACCGGAAGTACTAACGACACACGAAAAGGTGATTTCACATATGTAAATGTCATCCTCTATTATCTCTAACAAGTCTCCAGTTAATATCTTAGACCCTTTTCGTAAAAAAGGGGGGACCAAAACCCATTTTAAAATCAGAAAACTGTCAATAACTTGGAACCGAGGGTGAGTATTCCAAATTTTCCTTCTGATGAACAAAGTTCATATAATGACGCATAATTCCTGAAAGTTTCATAGAAAACCACCGAATAGTTTTCGAGAAATCGCCTGCACAAAATTTTGGGGAAAAAAATAAGAATAGTAATAATAAGAAACAGTAGAATCACTAGAAGGTCTTCCGTGAAGACGGAAGACCTTAACTAGATACGATCTCGTTGCGAGCAACGAGAGGTCTTCCGTCCGTTTTAGGAAAAGAAACCCTCGTAAAATCGAGCTGAAAAGAGATTCAAAATTTTGGTCACAAGGAGGATTGAAACCATGTCGCCAACGTGAATGCGCTTTTTTTTTTTACTTTTATATCCCCAACACGCTAACCATTAAGCTATTGGGAGTACTGCTCTAAATATACTTGTGTATACCACGGTACTTTTGCAACAGTTCACCTGTCTAAGAATTATAAAAAGCATTCATAATTTCGCGCCAAACGCCACGAGTAAATATTTGCGCCTTTTCTTTGGACTGATCTATTAGATAGGTATGATAGCATCAATTAAATTTTAAAAATAAAACATTCTTAGCGCCTTTATTTTATTTTGACGTTAAGAAAGTATATGTAACACATTATACACATTACATATCGTATCTAGCCCAGTTACACTAAAGCAGTGAAACGGAAATTAAGTTTTAAGATTGACACTCAATTGCAACGTACTACTGTAACGTGTCGGATCTGAGCGGTCAGTAGGTCCGTGCTCGGATTACCGAGTTTTACTGGGGATATGATTGAATGCAATATTTACAGATAATAATATGACACCTGCCTGGTGTCTTTAAATCAAATGACCTAAGTGCTTTGTATAATTATATATCTTCAGTTAATACCGGCACCTGCCTGGTGCCATATGATAATTACCTCACTATACTCGTACAACTGACTATATAAGTCAACATCTATCTGCCTGGTGCCTCTTGATTTAGCCTTTAACATCTGCCTGGTGTATAACTGCTTACCAAGTTGCCTATATAACTCTAGCCAAGTGGCTACAATATACTTACACAGTATGATTTAACTTTGTAAGAGCTTCTCTCTCCTAATGACAAACCTATAGCTAATGTCACACAGCTACATTTTATCTAGTCACTGACTACGGCAACTTTGCACAATCCTATTTGATCGATAAACCAATTGGTTTCTGAACCAAAGTGAAGACACAAGCCAGTTGGATGTACTGCCCCCTTGTACCTCAACTTAATCAATGATTATAAGTTATCAGATATCATATTGATAAAATAAAACAGACTGTCTTTCTTTTGGCAACACTATTATTATTTTCTAACAGAACATCATTTATCAATAATACTTGTATAATTCTTTAGTCAATTGACTAATTAATTACAATATTTACATTGATTATCTATTATAATATAAACAAGTAACGGGAGGTAACTCCTCCAACCATTTCACTACTACGTGAGAGTCGAAGTAGTTTTTTACATTTCATGTATTCTTATGTCAGAATGGTTTAATCAAACGTTCAGCTGCCTCCATAAACCCCTACTCGCGAAATGGCGGAGTTGACAGAGACAGCCGCCATTTTGGACCCGCTTCAGATTTTTGAATGCAAATATCTAGACTTCAGATTTATCAACATTCAAATAAATTAAATAGTAAGCATTATAAGGAGGGCTTCTATTACCATACCAAAGAAAAATGAAAAACACTGTAAAACAAAAAAGTTAGAAAATTCGATTTTTTAAAATTTACATCTCGTAACGACCGGAAGTACTGACGACACACGAAAAGGCGATTCTGCAAACCACAAAATCATGATCTATCATCTCCGATAAGTCTCCAGTTCATATCCTCAGCCATTTTCGATAAAAATGCGCGACAAAATCGCATTTTAAAATCAGGAAATCGTCCATAACTTGGCACCAGAAGCAAATTTTCCAAATTTCTCTTCGGATGTAACAACTTCATATAATGACACATATTTTGTGAAAGTTTCATGAAAAACCGCTGAATAGTTTTCGAGAAATCGCCTGCACAAAATTTTGTCAAAAAAAAGAATAATAAGAATAACTAGATGCGTTCTTGTTGCTAGGGCAACAAGTAGGTCTTCCGACCGACTTTTCTTTAGAGTTCTATGCCGCGTCATCCCATGAAATAGATTTCAGAATGTATTTTTTCGTTTATGTTCATTTACAGTAGTTTCACAACACAGAACGTGATTGTTCCAGGTATTTCACAAAATATCTCCAAATATAGCTTTTAAAAATCGGCAAAATGTTCCACACATGTTATAAAAGAGTGAAAAGTAATCTGCAACTGAAAAAAGACAAAAAGAAAGAAAAAATTTGGGGAACGCCCCCAACGGGATTCGAACCCCCGACAGTAAGACAAAGTTTGGTTCGGTCATATCTTTGCAATAAACACACGCATGAAGAAAATGAAAACATATATAGATATCTTTGAAGACGTTCTATAAACCCTGTAAATCCGAAAGAAAAATATTGAAAAACAAAAAAGTTGAAAAATTGGACTTTTTGAATTCACTTCCGTTTGCGACCGGAAGTACGAACGACAAAAAATGAAGGACGTTCGGCACATCTACATGTGATGTTCTTTCATGTCCATTAGTTTCAATGTCATATCTTTAGCCGTTTTCGAGAAAAGTAGTGTACAAAAATCCATTTAAAAAATACAAATTTCCCCAAAAATCGCGAACGGAAGAAAATTTTGAAAAAATGAAAAACACGTCTGGAGATATTAACCTGGTGCATCTTTCCTGTAAAAATCTTTGAAATCCGTACAGTCACAGCTGAGATATCGCCATAAAAATGAAAAAAAGAATAATAATAATAATGATAGGAAACCGACGGAAAACAATAAGGTCTTCCGAAGGAAGTCGGAAGACCTTAATAATAATAAGAAACAGTAGAATCACTATAAGGTCTTCCGTGAAGACGGAAGACCTTAATAAGAATAATAATAAGAAACAGTAGAATCGCTATAAGGTCTTCCGTGAAGACGGAAGACCTTAATAAGAAACAGTAGAATCACTATAGGGTCTTCCGTGATGACGGAAGACCATAATAAAAAACAGAAGGAAAACAATAAGGTCTTCCGAAGGAAGTCGGAAGACCTTAATAAGAAAAAGTAGAATCACTAGAAGGTCTTCCGCTGAAGACGGAAGACCTTAATAATAGGGAAAAAGAAACCGCACGAAAACAATAAGGTCTTCCGTTGGAGGCGGAAGACCTTAAAAAATAGTGGAAAAAAACCTAAGAAAAATAATAAGGTCTTCCGCTGAAGACGGAAGACCTTAAAAAGTGAAAAAGAAACCTAAGAATCACTAGAAGGTCTTCCGCTGAAGCCGCAAGACCTTAAAAAGAAACCTAAGAATAACAGAACAGAATAAAATATTGATGTCTTCCGTTTGAAGGGAAGACATAAATATTCGTAAGAACTTGGAAAGGGTCGATGATGTCAAAGCAGTAATTAGCACAGATACAGCTATTAAAATTCATGGTGTAGAAGTAGAAGTCAAAGGAATCATATCAGATGACGAGAAAGAAAGGTTGATATCGGTTCTGAATAGAAATCAGGACGTTTTCTCCTAAAACGGCGACGATCTGGGTTCTACCGATACGGTCAAGTATAAAATACTTATTACATATTTATCAGGTGCAGATGGATGAGCAGGACCGCCAGAAAACGGCATTCAGAGTTGGTCCCTTGAGTTTTTATGTATTTGTCCGCATGTCCTTCGGTCTTTGTAATAGCCAAAGTACTTTTTAGAGGTTAATGGAAGCTTGTTTAGGTGACAAAAATTTCGAAATCCTTCTTTTGTATCTCGATGATATTCTTGTCTTTTCTAAATCATTCGATGATCATTTAGAACGGCTTGAATTTGTTTTCAACAGATTAAGATCTCACAATCTAAAAATAAAACCTCAGAGTGTCACATTTTCCAAAGAGAGTTCAAATACTTAGGAAAAAAATTCTTCAAAATCACCTGTCAGTTTTGAATACTTTCAATATTCCAAATGAATTTGAACTACCTTATATATATATATTGGATTCCAAAACGTCATAAGAATCCTTACAAACAAAGATACATTGCAGGTTCCAGTAAATGTTGAACCAAGCCTCTTTCGTTACTCCTGACTAAGATATTGACAGTAGTGAAGGAAAAACTTCAAGAGTACTGTGCAACTATATATTCAAGAAGTAGTGTGAATCAGATGTGGATACTAAAAAATTCTAAAGAACGTTTGGACACTTTGAAATCACAAGACTTTACAAAAATCAACAGCTTTAAATCTTACGACTTTTCAACTTTATACACAACAATTCCCCACGACAAAATCCAGGCTTTTTGATATCATTGACAGCTGCTTCTTCAATAAAAATGGAACTCGTAAATTTACTTACCTGGTTATTGGTCATTTGCAAAATTATTTTGTTAAAACAGATTCTGATTGCACACATAAGTACTCTGAAGTTGACATCAAGAAGATGCTTGAGTTTCTTGATTGTCAACATCTATGTGGTTTTTGGAGACCAGGTATTCCTACAGTCTATTGGAATTCCCATGGGTACAAATTGCGCTCCGTTATTAGCAGACTTATTTTTATATTCATATGAAGCAGAATTTATGCAAAATCTTATGCGTGAAAAGAAGGAAACACTTGCTGTGGCCTTTAACTCGACACTTAGATATATCGACGACGTATTGTCAATTAATAATGGTAATTTCCATGCCTACGTCGATACGATATATCCTGGTAAGCTTGAGATAAAAGATACCACAGAGTCTGACGCATCTGTTCATACTTGGATATTTTACTTGAAAAAGACACTAATGGTAATCTAACAACCAAGCTATATGATAAACGTGATGACTTTTAACTTTTCTATCGTCAACTTCCTTTACTTAAGAAGCAATATACCTTCATCACCTGCATACGGAGAGGCACACAACAAAGTCAGGAAGGAGTTGAATAAAGCAAAAAATACATGGATTGAAAAGCAATGTTCTGAAATCAAGGAAAACCTTCAAAGGAACAACACTAAGAAGGCATATCAAGTGGTAAAAGAGCTCACCACAGAGAAACAGACAAGACCAACAAGCATCCAAGATAAGTCCGGAAAATGCCTAACTGAGGAGAAAGACATATTAGACAGATGGACAGAATACTGCTCGGAGCTATACAACTACCAGCTCAAGGGAGACCAAGCAGTATTAAACTGCCCAATGGCAAACACAGAGGAGGATCCACTTCCGATCCTACGAGAAGAAGTCGAATCAGCAATCAATGCTATAAAACTAGAGAAATCAGCAGGTATTGACAACATACCCTCAGAACTAGTTAAAGCTGGAGGAGAAGCAATGATTACAGCTCTTACAACCATCTGCAACAACATCTGGAGCACTGGAATATGGCCAACTCCATGGACACAATCACTGATTATCACCTTACCAAAGAAAGGAAATCTACAGGTATGTAACAACTACCGGACCATCAGTTTAATAAGCCACCCAAGCAAGGTGATGCTAAAGATCATTTTAAATAGACTCAAACCTGTAGCAGAGACCATCATTGCTGAAGAACAAGCAGGCTTTAGAACAAGAAGAAGTACCACCGAACAGATATTCAATTTACGAATAATCTTCCAGAAGTATCTATAACATCAACAAGATCTGTATCATGTGTTTATTTATTTCAAAAAAGCCTTCGATAGAGTATGGCATGCTGCCTTATGGACCACCATGAGGAAATACAACATCAATGCCAACCTTGTTCGAGTGATTGAAGAGCTATACAACAAGGCCACTAGTGCAATTCTCTTAAATAATAGCATTGGTGACTGGTTCCGCACAACAGTAGGAGTACGCCAAGGCTGTCTGCTTTCTCCCACTCTCTTTAACATCTTTCTTGAAAGGATTATGGAGGATGCTCTAGATGACCATAAAGGCACAGTCTCCATCGGAGGAAGAACCGTCACAAATCCGCGATTCGCTGATGATATTGATGGCCTTGCAGGGAAAGAGACAGAGCTAACTAGCTTAGTAAACTGCCTTGACCAAGCAGCTTCTGCATATGGCATGGAGATAAGTGCAGAAAAAACAAAGTTGATGACCAATAACATCCAAGGCATCAACTCCAAAGTCAAGGTCAGCGGAACATGTCTCGAGACCGTGAAGTCATTCAAGTACCTCGGATCCATCATATCAGACGAAGGCTCCAAACCAGAAATAGCAAGGATTGCACAAACAACCACAGCATTAACGAGATTACAAACCATCTGGAGAGACAGGAACATCACTCTTCGCTCACAGATCCAGTTAATGCGCTCCCTTGCTATGTCGGTCTTCCTTTATGCCTGTGAGACCTGGACACTTACGGCTGAGCTAGAAAAGAGGATTATGAGCACGGAGATGAGATGCTATAGGAAGATACTCGGCATCAATTACAGGGACCATGTGACCAATGCAGAGGTCTGCAGGACAGTCACAGAAGCCATAGGACCTCACGATGACCTTCTCACTATCGTCAAAAAGCGGAAACTAAGATGGTACGGCCACGTTTCTCGCTCAAGCGGCCTTGCAAAGACCATCCTGCAAGGCACAGTGAAAGGAGGACGAAAACGGGGAAGGCAAAAGAAGAGGTGGGATGATAACGTATCCGAGTGGACTGGACTGAGCCTCGCTCAAAACCTAAGAGCGGAAGAAAACAGAAATTTATGGATGAAAGTGGTGGATGGGTCTTCCAAGGTGCCCCAACGACATCCACAGAAGTCAAGGGATAGGTGAAGGTGAAGGACTATGAACTGAGATTGGGAGACGGCACAGTTCAATTTAGATATCAAGTATAAATCCGGATAGTCAAACAAAAACGCAGATAGTCTTAGCAGAATGTATTTAGTAAGTAATTCTGAGGACATTTTGGCAGAAATGTCTCAAATGTTTCTTTGAGAAAGTTTATTACAGACTGTCAGACAATTACAACGGACCAGGAACTAACTCTGATGTTTCCTGAATACACTTCAGACGATTTACGGAAACTGCAGGTGGAGGATCCAAAGATCAATAAAGTACTTCACTGGATAGCCACAAACCAACATCACGTCAAATTTCAAAAGAGAACGGAGAGGTGAGAAAATATCTAAGGAAGTATCAATTGTTACAGTTCAAGAATAGTGTCTTGTACATGACAAGTAGGGGATTGGATGGTGAGTGTTTGCAGTTAGTGTTACCAGAATGTCTTATACCACAGGTAATAGAGTCTCTGCATGATTGTTTTGGACTCCAAGGTCGAGAGATAACATTTGCACTTGTGAGGAAAAGATGTTACTGGCCAGGAATGCAGGCAGACTTCATCAAATGGATCGGAAAATGTGAAAGACGCAAGATTGCTAAGACACCAGTTCCAACAATTAGACCATCAAAAGGTAACTTGATAGCTAAACAGCTATAAGACATTTTGGCAATGGATTTTACATTATTCGAAAAACCTTCAGAGGGTTTTAAGAATGTTCTCGTTTTGACGGACGTTTTCACGAAATTTACCATGGCAATTCCTACAAGTAAATCAAAAAGCTTCCATTGTCGCTGAACAGTTGGTGTACAATTGGTTCTATAAAATTGGCAAACCAAGTCGTTTGGATAGTGACCAAGGTAGGAATTTTCAGGGTGAGGTGGTTAAGAGTTATGCAAGTTGTATGGTATAAAAAAGTCACGTAGCACTCCCTATCACCCTGAAGGTAACTCGCAGTGCGAAAGATTCAACTGAACGATGCATGATAGGTTTAGAACGCTTGATGCACAGAGAAAAGGAAAATGGACGGCGTTTTTGCCAAAACTTGTTTATGTACAACGTTATGTACACCTCATTCTACTACAGGATTGACACCTTATTTCCTCCTTTATGGAAGAGAACCAATATTACCTGTAGATTACTTGTTAGGTACTAACAAGGATGAGGTATGCTACCAGGTAGACGATTGGTTGAAGTCCCACAAAGAGCATCTTAAGTACGCCTGGACTGTTGCAGGTGAGAACATGGAAAAAGAGTGCAGAAAAACGACGAAAGTTTCACGAAAGGAAATCCACTCCTTTTTCTATTGCTGTAGGAACAAAGGTTTTGATTAAAAACCATGAACAACGTAGGAATAAGAAACAAGATGTGTGGAAATCAGATCCTTACATTGTCACAGGTAAGGTGAATAATTCTATAACTGAACCATACTAGTGCTGAATCTTTAGTTAAGTATTTAAAAGTTTGTTTAAATATGCTTCCAATTAAAATCAGATTTCAACTTTAAGTCAATAGAACATTTGTTTTCACAAATAGGCCTGTGTTGATTTTAGACATTAAATGATCATAAATGTTCCTTGATCCTTTTTTATTCTGACAAAGTATTTTTAAAAATTCAGGTTGGTATGGTTTACCATAAGAAGTTTTTGACCATTGTTTGACATTTGGCCATGAATATAAAACTGCTTGTTTTAGTCCCCCATAAGCGGTGAATGGCAACTTAACTAAATTATTAGTTGTGATACTTTCATAACTAATAATTGCCTTCTGTGTCAAATAAATCATGTACTACATGGAACCCCTTTTCATACAATGTCTTATAAAATACACATTTATTTTGAATCTTTATCTTATTATTATACTACAATGGTTCTAACAATATATTTACATCATGAAAATTAAAACTTTCTAAAAATTCAGCAAAATAAAGCAGTTTCTTTCAAAAATATATTTTGTATGATTTTGCTCTTTGTTTACAATATTCAGATCCAACTTGACTAAGTTTTTAATATTACAACCAGCAATTTCAAAAAAAAAATGTTTATCCAGTTTGAATTTTTTGTAAATATTCTTCTTATCCATGTTAATTTTAGGGATTTAATACTGAGTATATGTTTCTATATTAGTCGTTCTACATCCGCCTCTCTCAAAGTCCAACTGCAACGTTTTTTTTTTTTTTTTTTAGATATTTGTCAATTTTATTTCCCCATATGAATTTATGCAGAGTTTTTTCCGAGTTGCTGTGTCCACTGCACACTTGGTTTCGGAAGAGAAATAAATAAATGTGTAAACTTTTATAAAAGCAAACTTTTTACTACCGTTATTTTTCGTAAAGGTGAAATATTTCTTTTAGACCAATGATTTATTTCTTTTTGAATAAGTTTAAACTTGTCAAAATTAAGCTCTTCCATCTTTTCAAGATTTGCAGTGTATGTTATGCCTAAAACAGTAAATGGTTCATTGTTCATTTTAATCCTGTATCACTACATATTATTATAAGTATTATAAGTATTTTCTGTTTTAATTTTAGATCCAATCCAGGCAGCTTTTGTTTTTGAAATATTAGGCTTTAACCCATAGAATTTTGAGAATTGAAAAATAAAATCAAGTGCACCTTTTAAACTCTTTTCTGATCAATACAAAAAAAAAAAGAACTGTGTCATCTGCATTTTGTAGTAAACAAACTTTTTCCTTCTCTATTTTAATGCCTTTGATATTTTAATTTTGTTGTATCATATGTCCTAAAATTTCTACACAAAGATTAAATAAGTAAGGAGATACCGTGTCACCCTGAAGACATCCCCTGCCGATTTCAAAATTTTTTTTATAAAAAAAATACCATTTTGAATAACACATAATTTACCTTTATTATGTAGTGCTAAAACCCATTTAATAAGGTCAGGGCCGAAATTAAAAAATAGCAAAGTATTGTACATAAATTTCCATGATGTGGAGTCAAATGCTTTTTTTCAATATCTATTAGTAATACCATACCAGGAATATGGTTTTCATATGTGGCATTAATTACATCATAGATCATTCGTGTACCTGGTATTTTCCCCAATACATCTATCTCTAAGAAAGCCCTTTTGATTGTCATGAATTAAATAGTCGAGAACGTTTTTAATCCTATTTGCTAAACATGATGAAGCGATTTTATAATTTATGTAGTATTAAGAAGTGATACTGGACGCCAGTTTGAAAGGAATTCTCTTGGCTTGTCACCTTTTGGTCATATTTTACTCTCCAAGGGTCCGTCAAACCATGCACAACTCTCATATTCAGAAATGTTTCCCTTGCCTTTTTATTTACATTATTATAATTAAAGTTATCTAAATTTGCATCTTGAACAAGGTTAAAATCATCACCCAAATTTACAAATTCTCCTTGAAAATTTGAAATTATGTCAGACACCGATTGGAAAAATTTTGGATCATCATTGTTTGGTCCATATACATTTACTAATAAAATATCATATTTATGAAATACATTAATCTCCAGAACAAGCAAGTTACCTTCTTTATCCTTTTGTTCACTGTAAGTATTTTATATTCAAAATTATTGTTGAACAACATTGCGACACCTCTAGAGTTTGATTGACCCGGTGATATGTAAACATCATAGCCCCAAAGAGATCTAACTTGTGTGTAATCATCAAGAGTAAAATGAGTATCTTGTAAAAAAGAAATTGAGAATTTCTTTCTGTTTTAAATAGTTAAGCACGTCTCTCCTCTTTTCTAGTCCCCCAAGCCCTCTACAATTAAATGTTAAAATATTAAATGTTAAAAAATTAAAACTCATTTCACTATTCCATAGCCACCTGTATTACACAATCTATTACTATGGCTTGACAAATAAATGTCTTAAAATCAAAAACATTATTGTACGATCCAAGGCATTTTTGATCGGAATAAAATTTCTTTTCCAACAAACAAACATACATCTCTTACACAAAGACAAACGAAAAAAAAAAATGCAGCAGATGGCATTAATGAAACAAAAGTTCTGCACAGAAACGAGCTCTTAGACATGAAAGAAAAGCACCAAAACGAGCAAAATACTATTTGTGAAGAGTCTGACTCTGATAAGGAAATAGAGGCATAGATTATGACTTTGAAAGAATGACATTTCTTCGTGTTTTTAAAATTATGTATATTGTCAGTTTTACTGAGTATTTCCTTGTTAATCAGGACATCAACAAAATTGTGCGGGGAGGAATGTAACGGTTGATTTTGAGCATACTAAAAGAATGCGAAACGTGCACCATACTTTATCAACCGTTAGTCTATTTATAGAGTTTCTGTCCTTGCGCCAGGTTTTTATTTTATTTAGAGATTATATTATTAGATGCCTTATAAAAATTATATTTTAATACTAATCTGGTTGTTTTCTATTTTTAATTAATTTTCAGTGCAGTTATTTGAAGTTATAAAATTATTATTTTGTTTGAGTAAATTTCTAAGATTTAAACTGGTTTGTCAAATTATCTATTAAATACTCACTGTGCTGACGCCCCTGTTATGAACTGAACGTGTTCGATTGAGTTTGAGAGTGAAGCGTGTTAGGACCACACGCGCAGTAAAAGTACGAGTGAGTGACTGGGTGTGGCATTGCCATATTTTGGTGCTCATTGCCAATTTGATAATTTAATTTAAAATAAAGAACCATAAAAAGAAATTGACTTTAGTCGTTACAAAGAGGGTAAAGAGAGTTTAGTGCTATTAATAGAAGTGTCAAACATTTTTTTAACATTCGTGCAAGACAGTGAATCAGGTATTGAAAGCCACCTAAACACTCCTTTTGATTTCAAATTCAAAGAAACTATCATTGTATTTTTATTTCAAATGCAAGAGTACCAATTTCTTAGTTTGATCATTATAGCTACAGGCAACTATACAACTTCATTCAATTTTTTAAAACAGATATTGCGCAAAAAGTAACATTCTGCAAACGCGCCCGACTATGATCCACCATCAGATTGTTCAAGTGTCGATTTAAATATCTCTTCCCCTTGATTTACATAAACGAAAGAAGGTTCGGTACGACTTTTCCGAATTTAGGGTATCCATGGGCATTTAAACGTACTTGGACACAGATTTGAAGTCAATATTTTCTCTATAATATTACGACTTATATATTTTAATAGCATTTCACACAAAATTAATTAAAAATCTTATTTCAGTTAAAAGTTATTAAAACTTAAATTTTTTGGCGGGTTTGATTGACTCATCCTTGCACTTTTACAAATTTTAACTTTATTCTTAATCCTTAGAAAGGTGGCAATCTTGTTGTGTATTCATGAGAAATATTAAAACTTTTATCCAGAAAAATAATTTTATTCAGAGTAGAAATGTTAGAAAGCAAAATTCATTCACAAGTATCGTCATTCCGAACTAAGAGTTGCGTACAGAGTTTAGCAAATCGAGCACACTCGTGTTATGTACACAGTTTTTGTAAACAGGGCACGAGCTCTGTTTTTGTTGATGTTTACAATTCACCGGGTGCGTACAGTCATCACAGTCTGCTTACCACAACTGCACGGACTGTTAATATATTGTAAATTTGTTTTGCTTTCAAACTTGTCTACTCTGAATTTTCTGCATTATAGTATTAATATTTTTCATTTATACTCAACGAAGTTGCAACTTTTCCTAAGGATTAAGAATAAAATTAATTTGTGAAAGTGCAAGGATGTGTCAATCAAACCCGCCAACAAATTTGAAATTTTAATATCTTTGATATGAAATAAGATTTTGAATTAATTTATGTGTGAAATGCTAATAAAATATATATAAGTCGTAATATTTTAGAGAAAATAATTACTTCAAATCTGTGTCCAAGTACCTTTAAAAACAATCAATTGTTTCAAATCCATGCTGATTTAGGTGATGCTTAACATGCTTTTCAATTAGAAATATCCACTAGTATATAACTATTACCAAAAGAGAACGATTTAATAATATATTCTAATATATAAATGGTGCCTGTTTTGGAGGGTAACAGTTGAAATTGACACCCCAAGGAAAACTATTGTCAACCGACGCGTCAGTGGAGGTTGACACTGGTTTTCCGAGGGGTGTCAATTTCAACTGTTACCCTCAAAAACAGGCACCATTTATTTTATTATACTGAAAGTCTTCTTGATTTACTATGTCAGCAAATCGTCGATCGCCTTTTCGTTTAACGTTTAGAAAGCTTTCAAACTCCCCGCTACTTCGAAAAAGATTTACTGACCTCTTTATTGTTTATTTGATACTCTACGAGTCCTTTATCATCTAAAGTTTCGTTTTTTCTGCACTCGCAAGCATGTTTCGTCTGTTGTTTGTTGTTTTCAAGTAAGCTACATCGGACGCAAGCTTTTATTGGCGTCAAGTTTATTCCGATTCTTTCAAACGCGCAACTGACGTTTTGAGAATTCTACGGTGAACCGTACGTGCATAATTTCCATGCATGTGGCATTACGGTTGTGTTACCCGTTGTCACGTGTGTTGCTGAGGGTAATAGAACAGATTGTTAACTGCATCTAAACCAATCAGATTTTAGTATTTAACATGAAAGTATAATAAAGTAAAATGGCACATAAAAAATGCCCATGAAGTATTTCTTAATTTGTCCTTTATAAGTTATGGAGAAAATAAATATTCTATAAACCAACCAAATCCCGTGCTGAGACAAACAACTCCGGCGTTTCTATCGAAATTACAAGTTTTGGAGCTAGTCACGGATTGTTGACACTCCACCAAGGATTTTTCATATCCATTACAATAAATTCTGTCCAACCACCAAGTCTGTTTGTTTCCTTCTCCAAACAATGAAGAGAAAGCCGGGAGACCCCTAAAATGTAATTGCGACAAGAAATTTATTGTTGGAACATTTACAATGATATTGAGTTTAACACATAAAATTACAAATTGTATAGTAGCTGTTAATGAAATCATTCTTAGATGACCAGTAGGAAATAGAGTTACTTGTATATATGTCAAAAAATTCTGTCCCACTCGTGAAATAAATCCCATATTCAACTACAAAACATCATCAAGTTGAATATCTTCTATTTATTTTACGAGTGAGACAGGGTTTTTGATATTTTCACTCGTGCTCCGCACTCGTGAAAATATCAAAAAATCCTGTCCCACTCGTGAAATGAATAGAAGATATTCAACTACAAAACATTGAATTTTCTGTTTATTACATCTTCTTTGATTTTCCCTTTGCCTACATCTTTTTTGTAATGCTGTATTAGGCTACATGACGTCATAGTTGAGCGGTTGAGACGTCATAGCTAGGTCTAAGTGAAAAACATTACATTTACACTTGCAAATGTTTTGTCCTATATAAACATTACTTGAGTCGGTCGTTTTTACATCCCAATAAAACATGTTTGGGGTCAAGAGGTCACATGATAAATAGCGCGCATGAATACATTAACCTCCTCTGAACTGGGTCACTACTTTTACTATGAACGTAAACAAACCGGGCTGAAATCAAATACAAGAGGCCCAGGGGCCACAGCGCTCACCTGAGCACATCAGCTCGGAAAAAAAAAAAAAAAAAAAACACATATCAGATCAGAACTGAAAGTTTACTGAGAGGGGGAGGGGGGGGGCGCTTGAATTTTAACCACCAAGGGGATCATAATTTGAACGAACTAGAATCTACATTACCTGAGGATGATTTCATATAAATATTACTAATCCTGGCTTCGAAGTACTTGAAAAGAAGATTTAAAAAGGTTTCCCTATATATTTCTATGTAAAACTGTGGTCGGCCATTTTTGCCGCACCCTTACCCCGGGGTCATGACTTGAACAAACTTGAATCTACCCTACCTGAGGATAATTTCACATGAGTTTCATCTTTCCTGTTTCAATGGTTCTTGAGAAGAAGATTTTTTAAAGATTTTTCCTATATATTCCTATGTAAAACTTTGATCGGCCATTTTGGCGCCGCCCTAGCCCCGGGGGTCATGACATGAACAAACTCAAATCTACACTACCTGAAGATGATTCCACAAGAGTTTCATCTTTCCTGGCCCAGTGGTTCTTGAGAAGAAGATTTTTAAAGATTTTTCCTATATATTCGTATGTAAAACTTTGATCGGCCATTTTGGCGCCGCCCTACCCCCGGGGGTCATGACATGAACAAACTCAAATTTACACTACCTGAAGATGATTCCACATGAGTTTCATCTTTCCTGGCCCAGTGGTTCTTGAGAAGAAGATTTTTAAAGATTTTTCCTATATATTCCTATGTAAAACTTTGATCGGCCATTTTGTCCCCGCCCTACCTTCGGGGGTCACGACTTGAACAAACTTGAATCTACACTACCTGAGGATGATTCCACATGAGTTTCATCTTTCCTGGCCCAGTGGTTCTTGAGAAGAAGATTTTAAAAAATTTTCCTATATATTCCTATGTAAAACTTTGATCGACCATTTTGGCCCCGCCTTACCCCCGGGGGTCATGACATGAACAAACTTAAATCTACACTACCTGAGGATGATTCCACATTAGTTCCATCTTTCCTGGCCCGGTGGTTCTTGAGAAGAAGATTTTTTAAAAATGCCAATAATTTTTCTCTAATTCATGATTATCTCCCCTTGGAAAAGGGCGTGGCCCTTCATTTGAACAAACTTGAATTCCCTTCACCCAAGGATACTTTGTGCCAAGTTTGGTTAAAATTGGCCCAGTGGTTCTTGAGGAGAAGATGAAAATGTGAAAAGTTTACGACGACAACGACAACAACGACGACAGACGATGGACAAATTTTGATCAGAAAAGCTCACTTGAGCCTTCGGCTCAGGTGAGTTAAAACGGCGTTGAAACACAATGTCGCATTGAAAATAAAATAATTTTAATAAATAAAATGAAATCTGTTCAAAACGAACTTTTTTTATATTAAAAAAAACTTTTTTTATTCATTTATCATAATACACGTCTGCTTTCAACCCCCTACCAAAACAATGGTCGAGTTTGGCGATTTTAACCTCTGACTGTGATAACGACCCATTGCTGTATCTTCTGTTTGACAATGATATCATGGCCGCTCTGGATCTCCCTTTTATGGCTCCAGCAAGCGTTGAAGAGACTGAAGAGGTCGAGAAGGAGATGAAAATGTGTGATATGGAGGGACTTTCTAGCCCTGGTATTCCTGCCCCCCCCACCCCCCCCCCCCCCCCCCACTAAGAGATTCAAGTCCATGTCTGAGGAAAATTTGACAATTTGAGGATTCCAGACAATCTGTCTCAACACAACGAAATACCTAATGGGGAGTGAAACTCTTTCAAGGTACATAATTCCAAGTAGTGCTTAAAAATAACAACAAACTAAAACAAGGAATATAAATTGTACCAATGAAAAAAAAGAACAATGCTGATATTAATAGATATCCTTGTAAATAAGGCAAAAGCATGTTCTACAAGTATATTTACAGTAAAACAATACATTCACCAGCACAAAGGTATACCAGATTTTTCTCGGCAGTCTACAAACAGATGAATGTGTAATAAAGAATTAAAATGTAGGCCTGTGGGCCAACAGCCTAGCAAGCAAACAAACAAACAAATACAGAAATGCCATTAACAAACATATCAATACATGTATAACAAATCAATCAGACAATGCAACATGCAAACTATGAAACAGAAAAAATTAAAAATTTAGAAAATAAATAAATAATACTGCAATCAAAATCAAATAATGAAATAAATTCCCTTTACAATTTATAGATTGGCACTTGGAGGTCTTTTCCGATGTTCTTGATTTCAAAACTGTCACTTCTGAGATCCTTGCTGAGAAATTGAGGAAATTTTATTGCTAAGCCAAACCCAAATCAACTCCAAAAAGGGCGGCAGAATTAACGGCTGCACAGGCAGAAAATTATCACAAGAATAGCTTAAAAAACCTCCGTGCTGCAATCAACAGACACCTTCAAGATTTAGGAAGATCAATAGATATTGTTCGCGACAAGGAATTCAAAACAGCGGATTACACATTAGATGGAATGCTAAAATCAATGACAAAAACTGGTGTATCAAGGGCTACAAAGCACTAATCAGTAATTCATCCTGAAGACCTTGAACGCGTATCTTCGTATTTTCTTTCGGCTCCACATTCCCCAATTGTCCTTCGCCAATGCGTTTGGTACAATTTGTCTATCCATTTAGTTAAGCGTGCCTTAGAGTTTTACCATCAATTACAGATGGATTCCTTTGAATTTCACAAAGATGAGAACAATTTAGAGTACATTACACTTCGACATGAAACGCAGCAAAAAAATTTCCAAGGAGGAATCGGATCAGATGAAGCTCCTGCGGGAAAGCGGTTCTACGAGGTTCCTGGCAGTGATATCTGCCCTGTGAAGATGCTGCGCTTGTTGATGAGCAAGACGAAGCCCAGTGCTAAAAGTGTTTTTTACTCATGCTTTAAAGATGCTTTGATGATCATGGGTTCGAGTCCCGACAGATCATGTTCATGACTGAGTGGGCACCGCAGTGAAGCATCTTTGAAAACCTACAACCGAGAAATGATCAAAAACGCTCTGTAAGCTCTTGCCTTTCTCTCCTAACAAATCCTGATCAAAACCGCAATCGCAACATCACCAACCTTTCGTGCAGTGTCTCCACTTCGTCAGCCCCATCTGCTTCTTTTCCCGTTTCTCGTCGTAAACAAGACAGGCCTTTCTCCCCCGTTCCAAATGAAAATCATCCTTCTTTCGATGCTAGTTCTTCTGTGACCACCAGAATGTCGTCTGATTTTCTCTCCAAGTCCGTTTTCAACCACTGTGTTTTCAACTTCAAATACATGTAGACGCCTTGTGGCCTCTTTACGTCAACGGAAGTAGTGACACTCCGCGCAGTTTTATTCGTATTTCTTATCATACACAATAACTCTCTTGTAAATTTTCTTCTTTAAAAAATATCTTGTAAATGTGACTTAAACAACTGTTTATTTTTTTAATCAGTGTTATATAAATAGTTGCATTACCTTGGAACTATTTTTTGTTACGTTATTATCGGCCGCAGCAGCGGCCGATCTATTTGTGGTTGTGTTAGAAAGAGCACTTGGAGAAATGAGATGTTATTATTTTATTAGTCCAGTAAATTAATTCTTAGATGATAACATGTATAAAATCACGAGTAAAATATTTTAAAAACTTGCTTTAAACTAAGTTTTTATCGCTGTTATAATGTTTCAATTTCATTATCATTTCGCATAAGATAATTGATGATTGATGGTTAAATAAAAAGAATTTACAATAGGTACTCCCCATCCAGGGACTGTTTAAGATACGAAGGGAAATCGTCGTGATTTTCCGGATTATAAAGACGTGTACGTGGTTAATATGCATGGTGAATGAAATATTGAAAATTGGATCAACTAGTAAAAACTTGTATGAAAATGCTACAGCTGCGAATGACACAAAGATTATTTTTTTATACATTTTGCACCGCACCATGCAGCATAGCCTACAGCTGTACGTTGCAGAAACCATATAGGCATTATCCCGTGACAATAATCCAGGGTATCAGCACGTGATGTATCTTCAGAAACCTACATCTTCATTTTTGATGCAAATAATTTCTCATTGATTTAATCATTGACTTTTTTTTTACATCGACAAGTCCATCGGTCGAGCAAATGCACTAAAATTTCTATTAAATTGTTAAAAATATCTATTTATCTAAATGCTTTGAAGACGGCCTGAAATAGAAATTATCACTATAAATTCAACTTTGAATATCCTGTGCTTTCCTTGCATAAATGCTTTGAATTGTGAAAGTACCTTTTTGACATGCTAACTGTGTTAGCGGCCGATTTGATGCTTTGCATCAATTTTACTTGTTTTAACTGAAGCGCTTATCTAGGTCAAAAAAGAGGAATGTATGGAAAAGCGTTGTGGGCAAAAACATCGCAACAAGTGTAAATATAAGAAATAAGGTATCATTTTTGAGTTATAGTGGGATGTAAAACCGGTTGGCACATGATCAAATCTTCCATAAAGCCCTTCGGGCTTTATGGGATTTGATCCCGTGACCAACCGGTTTTACATCCCAATATAACTCAAAAAATGATACCTTATTTCTTAAGTAAACATGAAATTCAGCAAAATATATATTGAACTTTCGCAGTTTTATCTTATGACAGAGTGGTTTATTAACTGTTTCATATCTTATAACAGGTAAAGGAATATTTTTATTACACTCTTAATTGGTGAAGGGAAGGAAAATGTAGAGTTTTCCAGCACTTCTGATATTCCTTCACTGTGACAGGATATCATTTTGATATCCTTTCATACTGTGACAGGATATCACTTTTATTCAATGAAAAAGTATTTCACTGTTAAAAATGTACAACAATGTAATAAAACATATTACAACAGAATAAATTTGCTTTTGTAACATTCAAGAAGATCCCTTTTATGAAATTGATATTTGTAGAAGCAAGAAAAAGCAAAATTTAAGGGAGAGTATTTCTTATATTAACCATTCTGTTCCTAAACTAACTGCGGGAAATTGAAGCATTTCGTCATGCTATAAGCTTGTGTATTAAACTTTCGGTAGAATCTGAAAGATAGTTTTGGAATAGTTCTGTTAGCAGTACAAAAAAAATAATTCCCCTGTGCTTGGGTGGGATTTCAGCTAGTCAAGTTTAAATTTTCAGCTCTCCACTGACAAGTGGTGGTTTTTTAAACGAGTAAAAAAAAATTCAAAAGAAACATTAAATAAAAAAAAGCAAAGCGTGTGATTAAATGATAACAATGGAAAAAAATTGAATAGTGTGCTAATGAAAAAATATTCTTTGCTATGATTTATGACAAGATAAATTCTGCACTTCATGTTATAAATGCTAAGTCTTGTACCTTGAATATCCTAGACTTTTACAAGTCACAGTAGCATCATTTTTATCCCAATTTCTGTCACATAACATTCGCCATTGGTCATTTAGTAGAACTTCAACTCTGCCTTCATGTGGAGAGCTTCCATTCACAATTCTAACTGAATCTGAAAATTAAAAAAAAGTCATGTCAGAATGCCATTTATATTGCTCTCTCTCTCTGTGTGTGTGTGTGTGTGTGTGTGAGAGAGAGAGAGAGAGAGAGATGGTGTGTGTGTGTGTTTTAGCTTAATTGGTGATAGACCAGAAGTGCTTAATATTCGATACTAATGTGTCCGTCGTCCATCCGTCTGTCTGTCTGAGAACAATTTTTCCAAATGCTACTCCTCCTGAAGTTTTTCAAAAATGCTACTCCTCCGACAGTGTTAATCTGACTTCAATATAAATTGGCACACAAGTAGACTACACTAAGATACATAATTCTGAAAATCTCTCAAAATGCTACTCATTCGGATTTTAATATAACTTCATGGGCGGATACAGGATTTGTGATTAAAGGGGGGGGGGGGGGGAATAACTTTATTCAGGCAGGCGGTCTCGGGACCGCCTTAAGGCCTCCAGTGGGTCCAGCTCCGGGGTTTTCGTGAATTTTAAGAGTAAGACCAGGCACAATGATAGTGTTTATTATACCTCTATTGATAGTACTCGAATTTGATTGGCTGGTAAGAAAACTTTAAAACACAACAATGACTCCAAATGGTCCTTTTACAGCAATATTGATCTAAGAATCATTGCACGTGGGATGTAATGACCCAGTCATTATAATTAATGACCGCTAAGTAATGACCTCTTAAAAAATCCTTTTTGAGTGAAGTTAATGCATAAAATAATAATTATTCGAGAAAAACAACATGTTTATAAAATTGTGCATGGTCTGTTTTGCATTACCATACAGAATAGGGTTAAATTTTTATCGTTAACTTAAACGGTTTACTCATTTCAAAATATCGTTACAATTCAGTTCAATGGAATGTAGAAGCGGCTCTTTAAAAAGTTGAATTATGTGCTAGATTTTGACTTTGTAGAGGAAAAGTAATCTTTAGTTATAACAATATATGTCGCTATCAACCAAATATTGTTTAAATCAGTAAATCATGATGCAAAAACTTAACACGAAATGCAGACGTCATTGTAAACAACATCTATACGGAGTGAAGCGAATCCCGATCCCGATCAAAGAAAGAATTGATAACGATTAGAGATTCAAACTTTTCAATATATATCGATTATCGATATAATAAAAAATTGATTACCCCTTGTGAGTTCAACATGGTGAAATAAGGACCCTCGACCTAATCCACTCGATGACCTGACCTGACCTCGGCCGCTACGCGCTACGCGGCCTCGGTCAGGTCAGGCCACCTCGTGGGCCAGGTCTCGGGCCCTTATTTTACCATGTTGACCTCAAAAGGCGTAATTAATTGTATAATATTTATGTCCCGCCATGAATATGGCCGGGGCATATAGTGTTTGTCATGTCCGTCGTCCGTCTAGCTGTCCTTCCGTCTGTCCTTCCGTCACACTCTGCGTTTAGCTCAGTTCAAAGCTAAGTTTCAAAGAAACTATCCAAGATATTTTCATCAAACTTCATATGATGATAGATATTGATTAGAGCTTTGCAACTGCTTCAACATTTTTTGACCTTGACCTTTCCTTTGACCTTGACCTCACTTTTCTTAAATTAGTGTTTAGCTCAGTTCTAAACATACCATTCAAGATGGTGTTATCAAACTTCACATGTTGATACATACTGATGAGAGCAATTCTTTTGACCTTAACCTCATTTCTATCCATATGTGTTTAAGTCAGTTTTAAAGAAACCATTTAAAATATTTTTTTAACTTCATATGCTGATACTTACTGATGAGACCTTTTCAATTAAATCAATAGTTTTTGACCTTGGCATTTCCTTTGACCTTGACCTCACTTTAATGAAAAAAGTGTCAAACTTCATATGTTGATACATACTAATGTAAGCAATTCAACTGCATCACTTTTAAAGATATTCTGATCAAATTTCATACACTAATGCAAATTTTCATGTTGCTTAACTAATATACCTCGGCGGGGCATTCATGCCCTATGGACATATTTCTAGTTTTCATTTATTTTTGTTAAAAGTAACATATAGGTCCGATAGGCAGGGTGTTTGAATATCAATTGTATTGAATGTTTCTCATTGTATAGCATTATAACACGTGTCACTATAAAAAACGATTTACTTACTTACTTACTAATAGTGGTATTGGTTAGTAACATTGTATGTACCAAAGTAAAGCATTATTAATACTAGTCATATCATACTTTGAATGGTGGGGGCCCAGGGGGCGAAGCCTCCAGAAGTTCCTGGATTTTCATGTATTTGAAGAGTAAAACCAGGCACCATTATAGTGGTATCGGTTAGTTATATGTACCAAAATATGGCATTATTAATATTAGTCTTATCATACTTAACCCCGTGGGGATCCGGGTTAGAATAGGTCCTCAGTACCTCCTTGCTTGTCGTAAAAGGCAGCTAAATGGGGCGGTCCTTCGGATGAGACCGTATAAACCGAGGCCCCGTGTCACAGCAGGTGTGGCTCAAAGGCCATAGGTGCCGAGCATAGGCCTAAATTTGCAGCCCTTCATCGGCAATGGTGACGTCTCCATATCAGTGAAATATTCTTGAGAGGGACGTTAACAATATACAATCAATCAATCAATTTTATCATACTTTGAATTTTTTTTGGGGGGGAGGGGGGGGGGCGTGCGCCCCCATACATCCCCTTATATTCGCCAGTGAACTTGGCACACAAGTAGATCACACCAAGATACACAAGCAAATGCAAAGAATTGTGGTCCACCGCTTTCGTTGTCTTTGTGGATGAGATGTTATTTTTATGATATATTGTGTATAATATTATCACCATATCATATGTAATTTATTAAGAAATTATCATTGAAGTTGATTTTTTTAAATAGGGTCAATCGTGAAGGTCCAGGTCAAGGGTTAAGAAATCATAGCATGTTCAAACTATCTTGTCACAGGTAATGCATATGTCAAATATGAAATCCCTTTCTCTTCTCAATATAAGGAACAAGATGTGTTTGTGAAACATTGATGACCCCGTATGGCAACATAACGAAGATTAAACTTTTATTAAATGGCAATCTCCCTCTGCTCCAAATTTCACGACTTTTTTTTTTAAATTCCAAACATTGATTTTCAGCAACCACTATTGCATTAAATTCAAATGGAAAATAGTTTGAAGCATGAAGCATTGCTTAATTTTTCAGAAATGAATAATATGTCTTATCATGATGTGAAGAAAATTTGATATGGTAAATTGAAAGATCAATTATTTTTTATCTCACAATTACATTAGAAATATGAGGTTTATATAAAAATGATATTCACTCTCATACCTATCTAATTCCCATTAGAAAACATACTGCAGCGTTGCTTTTTAAATCAGAATATCAAATAGTATTCTGTTCATGTAAAATAATACGCATCCATAAACAAGAGTTATCGTTCCATTATAGCCCTAGAAAATATATTTTAATGAAACAAAATATTAATTGAATGTTTATAAATAATTCTGCATCTGAAATCTCTGTACAATTAAAAGACTTATACGTTAAGAGATAGAAATTTTACAATTTACACCGTTTAAAGGAACTGAGTATAAATGTTTGAGGTAAACTATTATAAACTAGAGGTACTGTGAGCGATGAGCTCACTAAATGATACCCCCCGCCTCCCATATGGTTATAACTGGTGAAAAAGTCCATGTTTTCCTGTGGCCGGGAAACCCAAAATATGTGTCGAATCAAAAAGTAAAATAGGAGGTGCACAATGGCAATATGTAATAAAGATTCTGTGAAAGTTTCATCAAATTTCATTCAGTGGTATGAGAGGAGTTGCGGATAAGAGATGGGTACCCCAAAGCGTAACAGACGGACGGACGGACGGACGGACGGACGGACGTACAGACGGACGGACGGAATTAACGATTACTATATACCCTCCCGCTTTTCAAGCGGGGGGTATAATAATTAATAAATATACTAGCAATAGAAACTAGAAATCAAAATCTGTACGATAAAACAGGCTTGATTAAGTTGACTATAAAATGGTCCATATGAATACAATTTGTAACCTCTGCAGCTGGCATATGAAATTTCACTGAATTTCATGACAAAAGTTATCTCTCTTATCAAAAGAGTTATTTCTCTTATCAGAGGGATATTCCACCTTAAATGCAAATTAAATTATATATTATTACCCAAAGTAGGGTTTTTCTCACAAGAAATACGATTTTGAAATACGAAATCCCTAGCACCGCCTGTTCAAAAGTTAAAGTCGAGGATAAATTTTTGAAAGGTAGGTCAAACTGGTTTCTTAAGAAAGGTCTTCTCACAAGGATAACACATGTGAAGTACGAAAGAACTAGCCCTTACCGTTCAAAAGTTGTGGTCAAAGTTAAAGTTTTTTTCATAAGTACGTAAATCTACAAGGTCAAGGTAAAAAGGTCAAAGTTGTTGGTATCAAGTGAAAGGTCTTGCAACAAAGAATACATAAGTGAAATATGAAAGTCCTAGTACCTACCATTCAAAAGTTGTGACTAAGGTTAAAGTTTTCAAAAAGTAATTAAAACTCCAAGGCTAAGGTCAAAGGGTCAAAGTTCTTGGTATCCAAGGAAAGGTCTTTCCACAAGGATTATATACATGTATGTGAAGTACAAAATCCCTAGCCTTTACCGTTCAAAAGTTATGGTCAAGGTTAAAGTTTTTTTTCATAAGTACGAAAATCTCCAAGGTCAAGGTCAAAAGGTCAAAGTTGTTGGTATCCAATGAAAGGTCTTGTCACAAGAAATACATATGTGAAATATGAAAGTCCTAGTACCTACCGTTAAAAATTTGTGACTAAGGTAAAGGTTTTTAAAAGTAGTTAAAACTCCAAGATCAAGGTCAAAGGGTCAGAGTTCTTGGTATGCAATGAAAGGTCTTCTCACAAGAACTACATATGTGAAGCATGAAAGCCCTAGCCCTCACAATACAAAAGTTATCGTCAAGTTAAAGATTTTTCATAAGTAAGGGAATTCCCAAGGTTAGGGTCAAAAGG